GAAACATCCTATGAGGCTAATAATTAAAATGTTCCAGCTTGGGGCACCTGGGTGGCTCAGTGGGTTAAAGCATCTGCCTTTGGCTCAGGCCATGATCCCAGGGTCCTGGGATCGAGCCCTGCATCGGGCTCTCTGTTGAGGGGAGCCTGCTTCCTCCTCTCTCCCTCTGCCTGTCTCTCTGCCTACTTGTGATCTCTGTCAAATAAATAAATAAAATCTTTAAAAAAATAAAATACCTGAGGGTTTTGAAGGGGCGGGGGGAGGGAGGTTGGGGGAGCCAGGTGGTGGGTATTAAGGAGGGCATGTATTGCATGGAGCACTGGGTGTGGTGCAAAAACAATGAATTCTGTTATGCTGAAAAGAAATAAAAAAGAATAAATAAATAAATAAATAAATAAATAAATAAAATGTTCCAGCTTGGAAAAATTAAGTTTAAAAATCACTTAAAATATAATATATCCATGAAAACGAGGCTCTGAGTATGTAGCACTCCAATGTGTTCCAGTCCTTCTTCCGTATTACTCTCAAAAGAGATCACCAAAACCTTCTCAGATTTATATATATATATATATATATATATATAAAACCACATTCAGAAGTATCCTTGGATACTAAACTCTCCTTAAGTCTTACTTAGTCCAAGATGCGGTGAAAGCCAAGTTCCTCAGTTCTTCTTAACTATTTATTAATGACAGAAAAGAAAAGATCTATCTATTGAATGCACCTCATTTATCTCTTTTTTTTTAAAGATTTTATTTATTTGAGAGAGAGAGAATGAGTTGGGGGAGAGGAGCAGAGGGAAAGAGAGAAGCAGCCTCTCCACTGAGCAGGGAGCCCAATGCAGGACTCAATCCTAGGACCCTGAGATCCTGACCTGAGGCAAAGGCAGATACTTAACCAACTGAAATGAACCAAATGAAATACTAAAGTTAGTAAATTTTTCTGATAACCACAGCTAGTACATAAACATTATGTCATTATTTTTATTGACAGTATTAATGAGACTACTTGTATAGTGTTTTAGGGACTCCAGATATGACAGATACTTCTCAGGGGTTATACTCCTACATGTTGGTTTTTAAGTGTTAAGGTTATCTATAGGGTTCATATTCTCACTGTAGTAAAGGTTAATTAACTCCTCAACATACAAAATGAAAACTCAGCAAAATGCTTTGATAATAAAATAATAAAATAATAGTGTGTGTGTGTGTATATATATATATATATATACATATATATATATATATATATATATATGTATATATATATATGTTTATGAATCTGTGGGCTCTGTTCTGAATGCCTTACATTTAATCCTCAAAATACTGAGATGCAATTATCATCCCAATTTTATAGGTAGGAAAACCAGCACAGAGTGGTTAAGTAATTTATCTAAGATCACACAGCTAGTAAATGGTAGGATTCAAACACCAGCTATCTAGCTCTAGAACCCCATGCTCCTACATACTGTATATTGCCTTTCTAGATGGTATGAGATAAATATGCTCCGTGAACTATGCAGGAAGCCATGAACTATTGGGACTTTATCCTCTGATATAAATTTTCTCTTTGTTAATCTGCCATCTTGAGAGAGAACTGTCTATGAGTAATGCAATTTTTTTGGTATTTTATAGGTGAAATTGTCACTTAACTCTTACTTCATAAATTATTTTTCCCATTTTAAAGGTTTCCCTAACATCTATAATTAGAATTTCTTGTGCCTTTTAAAGTTTTTCTTAACCTTCTATAGTATTTTTAAGAATAATATGTACTACGTATAGAAAATATAGAAAACAAAGAAGGTAAAAAAAATTCAAATATGAATGGCTTATAACCACCGCTCACCTTACATGTACTGATTAGTAACCTTCTTGTGCTTGATGAACAGCTGCAAACTCAGCATCTTAACATAGCAGCCCTTTGTTCCCGTAGATCTACAGGCTGGCTAAGGTGGTTTTGCTTCACGCTGTCGGTTGCCAGGACCAGAGAGAGGGATGGCTGGGACCTTTTCTAATAGTGATATAGCAGTTTTAGAAAGTGAGGCAGGTCTTATATGAGCTGTCATGGAAAGATCCTGTATTTACTTAAGTTATAAGAGTAAGTTAGAGAACAATATGCATATTGTTGCCTATGTATGCCTAAAAACTCTATATTTTTACAGCACATCTATACACGAAAAAGCCTCAAATCAGCTTTAAAATGACACACAGCAGACTGTTTGTTGTGGTTACTTTTGAAAATGGGGTTGAAATTTGGAGAAATGTTATGGGGAGGGGAGGCAGACTATGATTGACCTGTGTTAGAACTTTGTATAACAAGAATATATACACCACTAATAGCTTTGTCTAATGACGAAGTTTGGTCTCATGACAAATGTTTAAATGAGCCTAAGGAAAGAAAAAACAGTTGTGTTTTACTCAGATAAAGTTACTGCTACTTGATACAACAGAGAAAACCTGAAAATTGAGTGGCTTAATGCAAGAACTTTCTTCCGTACATAAAACCTGATGAAGATTGGCAGAGACTCACTGCTGTCAGGTGACCAGGGATCCAGGCTGTCTCCATCATCACATGGGCTCCCCATGTTTGCTGCTGAATAGAAGAGAGAGCATGGAAGTAGCATACTAGCTGTCTTGTGCGTTGGCCTGGAGGGGACAAACATGCTTCTACTCATACATCCGTGGTAGGGGTTAGTCAAATGACCCTTCCTAACTATAAGTGGACTGGGAATGGAATCACTCCTACCAAATTGTAGGTGCTCAATTAAGAGCACCCTGTAAATCTTCCCTATAAATCTTAGCAGGGAGGGCTCACCCCTTGTCCCTCAATAGCATCCTTCAGCATAGCCATTTATAATAACCTATATAATTTCAGTAGGCTGAGAATTTTCTCCTACCTTTTGATGCATGATCAAAATCATGACTAACCACCACATGACTCGTGACTGAGCTTGTCTGAACACCGGAACAGGTGCCATTAAGCATACTGTGAAAACAGCATTTCCCTGAGACAGATACAGACAAGATTCCCTGGAAGAATGGTGAATTCTTTTTCCTTTTTATTGAAAGTCAGCATGTCTGCTAAGGACTCCAAGATGGGTTTTAAAAATTCACCCTCAGTAAACATTTACTTACACAGTGATTTCCTCGGTCCTTCCTCATCTACCACCTAGGAGGGAGATTTGGTTCTTAGTTAGTTAACCTCACTCATCAATGTGTGGATTCCATGGCCACATTCAAGTAAGATACTCCATCAAAACCCTACTGCAAATATCAGGTTGTTTCCTAAAAAAGTCCTCTCCAGCCTCAGAGTTATAAACAAAGGCCCTGTAGATTTCATGCCAAATCAGAGTTTACATAATAGCTGATTTGGCAAGACACACACACACATACACTTTGAGTGAAGCGGAAGCACATACGGGAGATAAGGAGGTGTCTAAATCTCACTGTCAGGGTCAGTTGCAGTCTGAGGGAGGCCAGGGGGAGAGATGGGAGCTGTAGGGAGTTGGAATGATCTGAGTCAGGGGAGGGCAGGGGACAGCAGCTGTCTCTTCCACCAGAATCAGGTGCAGCCTCCAGAGGAGGACACAGAGGAGAGCTGGCCAGCAGGTCAGATCCTAGTTTGGACACAAAGGCCCAGTAGGGAAGTCCCAGTGGAGGGAGCTGTCATGCAGGAAAGTGCCGGGACTGGGGACTCCACACAAGTGCTGAGACCAGGGCAGAGCCAGCTCTCAAGGGACCCTGCGGTGAGGGGCAGGAGGATCCTAGGAAAATGAACCCCATGAACAACCCCCAAACTGTGTTTGATTTTAATTTGCACCTTCCTTCTTTAAACTTGCTTTTAGTACTTCGGCCACAGGGTCCTTCTTTCATTGCCTCAAAGCCATCATGGAATAGTGAGAAGAGAAAGTAATTAAGAGACAGAAGGTTGGCCTCAGGCTGCGAGGAGTGCAACAGCGTGGGCTCCAGAGGAATCAGACCAGGCTTTACCCCTGGTTCTGCCACTCCACAAACTATGTGAACTTGAGAATATTTCAAGTTCTTCACCTGCCAAGTAGGTTGGAGAAGCCCTGTCCTGTAGGGCTGTTGGAACATATATAATATATGTGAAGAACCTGGCACAGTGACTGGCAAATATTGGGTCTTTAATAAATGGTAGTTATTATTATGCTTTTTTTCACACCAGAAGAAACTACCCTCATCTTTCAGAATTTTTTTTAACCCAGGAGATGTCAGAGACTGCAGTGCTATCTTCTTGAATGGCAGCTATGCCACTGAGAAGAACCCCCAAGTGTCCTGCTTCAGAGAATTTATACATCACTGTTCTCACTTGCCCCTCTTCCTCACTGCTTTATTTTTTTAAAGATTTAATTTATTTATTTGACAGACAGAGATCCCAAGTAGGCAGAGAGGCAGACAGAGAGAGAGGAGGAAGCAGGCTTCCCGCTGAAGGGCTCGATCCCAGGACCCTGGGACCACAACCTGAGCCAAAGGCAGAGGCCCTAACCCACTGAGCCACCCAGGCGCCCCTCTCATTGCTTTTTTTTTTCAAATTTGTCTTACATGTTGGAGTTCATCACACCATCATTCTTATATAAAAACTTTTCTTACACTCTACGTGCAGGGTCTTCTTTATCCCTAGCATCATCACTGCTAACATACAACGTTCCAAAGACCAGATCCTCAATTAATGATAAGAATAAATGGACCATGGAGCAAAGAATGTAATTTATTACTATTTAATTTTATCTGCATTCTTGAATAAGTCAAGGACATTCAGGTATATATCCTTGAATTTTACAAAGAGAAAGTCAAAAGTGAATAGAGCAAACCAATATTTAACTACATTTTACTTTGTTTCTATTTTAAAACTACAGCTATATTTTTGCTAGTTCTTTCATATTTGCAAGAAAAATCCACATTACAAGCCATATTATCTTGTTCTGGAACCCAAAGAAGAAGCAAGGATTTTCAAGTTTTATTACACAACACCAAAACTCTTACTCTTAAGAAAATCCCCATTCCAAAGCCATATTGTGTTGTTGTAGAACCCGAAGAAGATGTAAGGATTTTCTAGCTTCATTATACAACACCAAAACTCTTACTCTTAAATCTGATAAACAGCAATGTGTGATCTATGTCATTTATAAAGTTGGATTCTAAATCCAAATAAACATTCTTCCTGAAAGGAACATTTGTAAGCTACCAATATACGATAGGAAAACAAAAAAGATACATATTATGGCCTCTCCAACCCCACCTTAGCCTCTCACTACTTAAAAGGTGGCAGCTCTCAACAACTACAAAGCAAAGAATCTGCCTCAGCCCTCTCTAGGGAGGAGAGGAGAGGCCGGACTTTGCCTGGGAACGTGCATTGGCCTGGGTAGTAGAGGCAGCCGCAGCTGTGGCTCTGGCTCGGGCTCGCTCTTCCTCATCTCGCAGAGCCTCTTCGTAATGGAATGGGAAGGCGCTGGGGACGGTATCATGGACCTTGGCCAAAAACTCCAGGACTCTCATCTTGCTGGTCTCGGCGTGGGCTCTCGGGCCCCACAGGAACTCGAAGCGTGGAGGATCACTACCGGGTACCTGGCGGTACTCCAGATACTTTTGCTGCACCAAATCTTGGGTGATGAGCTTCCTGGGGTCCCCAAAGACTGAATGCTTCCTGCCATCATAGATGCCCAAAATATTCAGGAATTCCCAGATATCCTCCTCAGAGGCTCGGTTGCCACTCAAGAAGATCACACTCAGAAGAGGCATGAGAAGCCCATTCTTAGGAAAGCCCCAGGCACTGCTCACACTGCCATCGGTGGTGAGGTCTAGGCTGCTGACCAGGATATAGGAATGACGGCCTGGCTTGACTTCCTTTAATTCCAGGCCAAAGACCAGCTCCATGTGCTCCGAGGCTTTCCTGAGGATCTCAGGGAAGTGCTCCCTGTACCTTTTGTGGATGATCTTCAGCATGTCTGACTTCAAAATGGGTGCCCTCATTGTATACTTTTCTAGCAGGAACTGCATCAACATCCCTACCTTCCTGGTTAGAAGATCTTTGCGAGCACTCTCAGGGGAAGTTGAGGCCTGAGAGGAATTTTTCTGTTTCTCAGCTTGGCTCTTGGCACCTGCATTAGATCTTGGGTGTGAAACACCTGCAGTAGCAGAGCTAGTCGCTGGGGATCCCCGAGGCTCCTGGGAAGTGCTAGCAGCAGGGGAACTCGGGAGAGTATCCCCAGAAACAGGAGAGTCGGAGGACTCTTCAACATTTGCTGCAGTGGCCTGAGTACCCTCAAGGCTCTGTGGCTCACCTCGGGCCTGGCGGCGTTTCTCACGAGCACGGAGCTTACTCTTCTGGCCCCGAGGCATGACTGGGTCAGGGACAGCAGGCACAAGAGTGAGCTGGAAGGCAGGAGATGTTGGCACCTGGAGCAGAGAAGATGAGAGTGTGAGCACCTCAGCAGGGAGAGAGCACCTTGGCTTTTAAGGAGCCACCTTTGTAGATTTCCATGAGAGCACGGTTCTAGGACCCAACAATGCTGTTGCTCTTGTTCAGCCAGGTGTCCTGAGAACCCAGTGGAGGAAGTCACAGTAATCCTAGGACTCCCAGGACTAACAGCGGGGTTGGGATCATGGGCTGCTCTTTCTTTTTATTTTGTTTTTAAAGTTTATTTATTTGAGAGAGAGGGAGAGCAGAGTGAGAACACGAGTTGGGGGAAAAGGCAGAGAGAGAAAAGTAGAAGCAGACTCTCCACTCAGCAGGAAACCTGATTTGGGGCTCAATCCCAGAACACTGGGATTAAGACCTGAGCGGAAGACAGACACTTAACCGACTGAGCCCCCAGGTGCCTCCGGCTACTCTTTCAATTGGGTATTAAGTGGTGTCCCATTTCCTTACTCAGGATCTTCAACTTGACTCCAAACCCTTCCTGGGGCTCTGCCCTCTGCTGATCTGAGGCCATGACCCTTAGACAAAGGGACTCACATTTCTAGGGCCTGAGTTGACAGCTAGAGTGAGCTGACTGGGGCCTATGCCTGCTAACAGCAGGGGCGAGACCCTTCAACCCCACTGTTCTGGAGGCAGTGGCTCCCTCAGACCTCATTCAGGACTTTGAACTTGATTCCAGGTAGAATTTGGTATTCCTCCATTTACCTGAGTCTACAGCCTTAAAGCAAAGGTTTCACCTCCCAGAGTAGCTAGAAAAGAAGTCACTGTGCTGCACATCTGAGTACCTCACTGGAGGGCTCCCTGATACGGGAGCCAGGTACTGTTCTGCACAGCTCCCTATTCTGAGGAAAGGGGTCCTTACCAGCACTGACAGTTCTACCTTTACTGTGGGGTCAGAACTTATCGCTCGATCCATGGGGCTGCCTCCTTTAGATATAGGTCTTTCTCTACCTGAATCACCCCCTAGACAAAAATGAAGGGTTACATCAGCCCGAATTACTCCAGGACATCCCAGGACCGCCAGCAGGAGTGGGGCGGCCCTCTTTAGACAAAGGCCCTCGCCTCCCTGAAGCAGCCTGGGTGGCAATGAGGACAACGGGATTGCTCGGCCGGCCAGTCCGCTGGGACCTCCCAGAGCCGGACCAAAAGGGCAGGTTAGGGGGCCAAACTTCCTTGTGGCGGGGGAGTAGCCTCTCCAGTTCCCACTCAGGGTTCTCACCTTAACTTTAGAACAGTCCCGGGAAACCAGCCGCCGCCGAAATAAACGCCGCGCCCAGTGGTCGAGGTCCCGCCCAGAACGGAAATCGGGTTATCCGCATCCGGGGGCGGGGACACCGGGGTCTCCGAGGGCTATAAGCAGGGGCGGGGCTCTGTGGGACCCCAGTGTTTGTGGCTCCTCCCTCTGGTGGCCCAGCCTCACCAGCCCCCGGGCCCCCACCCTCCTGAGTCCCTAGAGGGGAATCTCTGGTCCTGCCGCCCCCTCGCTCCTTCAGGGCTACTCCTTTCTGGGCCGCACAAACCTGATTGGGGGCTGGGGGGGGCACACACTCTGTGAGCCTTCCTCTTTAAGGGGAGATACATTTGCATTGAGGGTCCACACTTTGACTCCAGCTATGGCCAAGACTTCTTCCTCTGCAGAGCTGGGACCCGTCCTGTTAGATAAGGCCGTTCCTTCCTTGAGACTCATCAGGCAGAATAAGCGGACTCCTCGGTTAGAGCTCTTCTGGGTCCCGCAGGGCTAAGAATGATACAGGATTCCATTTAGCCTCCTTTGCTTTGGGGTCCTCTCATAACACTCTTAGCCTTCACATGAATTCTTGTTAGGGCCCAGGTCCCTCCCTCTGCAAAACTGAGGCAGCTTTCATTAAACGGAGACCCTCACCTTCCTGAGACTTTCCAGGCTGAAATCAGCCTGACATCTCCGCTCAGGGCTTTCCAGGCACGACGGCAGTGGAGATGTTGCGGGGTCTCCTTTTATGCTGTGGGTGCTGCTTTTAGGTCTTCATCTTGATAGATGACTGATCCTGTACCTTCTCTGTGCTTTCCCGTAGCTGCTCATCTTACCTATAGGTCCTCCTTTCCTGAGAATTCTAAGTTGGAAATGAGGGTGAGCCTCATCTGATCATGGTCCTTGGGTGCCTCCAAGAACAGACAGCAGGGATGTGATGCTATAGGACCTCGCTCTTCTGGCTGGGTCCTTCCATCATTTCTCACTCATGGTCTTCACCATATCTTTCACAGCATGGGTTTCCTTTTACTGAGCTAAGGTCACCATCCTTAGGTCTTTTGATGACCCCAATATGTTGGGGTAGTTGTCTTCTCAGTATTCATTCACAGGGGTCCTCATCTTGGCCTGTCTCTTTATTAAAGGCTTCCTGGGAAACAACATGTACCTGCAAACACTCCACCAGTTTCTCTACTGCAAGTCTTGCCGAAAATGAGTCCATGTGCCAAGAGTGATATAAGATTAGGAAAATGCAGCATACATCAGGGAGCCCAAGACAGGTGTGGTGTCTGAGGAAAAGAAAAAAAGCTGATCTATTTCATCTCTTCACTTAGGGTAGCTCTAAAAGATTTACTTTTTACAGAGAAGGATGGAGCCAGATGATTTTGTGAGCCCCTGATCTTTGGAGGATAGCTGATTTTATACATGGAGATAATCATATTGTCACTGTCTCATTCTCTCCTTTATTCATATTTATTTTGGTATTCTTATTGCACTTATTATGTATGCCAATCCAATGTTTTGGTCATGTAGTCCTCCTTTTTATCTCTTGAGATACATTCTGGGGTGATAGAAGAAAGTGAATTAAGTGATCCATGGTCAGCCTCCGGCTGGGAGGAATGGAAAAGTGTGAGGTCTGGACAGAACAAGTGTCTATGCCTAGCTCTATCACTTATTAGCTCTATGAACTGGGTGCATTAGCAAGTTCTGTGGGCCTCAGGCTCTGCATCTGAGAAGTGGGTTTGTTAAATCCTGTCTTGCAGGGCCTGGTAGACCATGGTTAATGTACATAAAGCTCCTGGAAAGATGCCTGGAATGCACTGAGACTTTACACAATGCCTGTTATTACAATGGTTATGATTATTTTGACCCCAGAGGATACCACCCACCCTGATGGAATATTCGTTTTAATATAGAAGATATCAGAGAATATATGCCACTCTAAGACCTGGAACACCAAATCAGTCCAAAGTGCTTCTTACAGAAACACTAAAGTAAATTACCACCCCCCCATAAATCATATTTTGAGCGTGGGGGAGTTTTTTCTACCTGAATGCAACTCAAATCTTCTAGAATTGGAGTCAAAGACTAAATCTTTCCTCTCAGCTGCCTTTTAATCCAAAGAAGTACCCCATCTTCATTAATTTCACCGTCATCTAAAATCTATACCTCCCTTAGTTTGCAGAATTAGAAGCCAAATAAAAAACAAAACAGAACAAAAACAGTAACACTGAATTTGAATGCTCTTTTAATAAAATGGGTTCTGATTCCCCAACTTACAGGAGAGAGTACCTGCCCAGTGGCTTCTGAGTTTCCAGCCTCAAACAGTCCCACCCTTATGTCTCTGAAAGTCCCTGGAGATGACTCGCATAAAACACCTAGTTTGTGCTCTGTGTTCACCTGCACTGGGGACAGAACCATAGGACACATTCCACCCATGCCCTGGGTGGAGATACTCTCTGATTTACTCACAATCCCAAAGTAACTGTTAAAGGTAGTTTTCCATTCCAGACTCAAATCTCTCAACTCAGAGACCCACCACCTGGCTCACCAGTGCCACGGCCACTTTAGCCCACTATACAGCTAACTTAAAATTATTTCCAATCATGGGCGCCTGTGTGGCTCAGTCAGTGGAATGTCTGCCTTTGGCTCAGGTCATGATCCCAGGGTCCCCAGAGTGAGTCCTGCATTAGGATCCTTGCTCAGCAGGGAGCCTGCTTCTCCTTCTGCCTGCTACTCCCCTGTTTGTGTTCTCTCTCTCTCTCTCTCTCTGATAAACAAATAAGATTTTTTTAAAAAATTACTTCCCATTGCAGGGCTTTCAGCTGCCCAAAGGCTCAAACTGCCTTGCCTCAGGCATTTTACACTAGAATACATCTGGAGTCCCCTTCCCTCCTTTTTACTCCCTATTTTTACTAGTCCTTTCTATCTTGGGGAGTATCTCACCACCTACATTATATGAGAGCTGCTCTTAGGCTCCACAGTTTTGTAGGCAGGGGTTGGGCCTATTTTTCTTATCATCTCCAGTACTAGTCAGGAGCCTTCCAAAGAGCAGGTGCTAAATTAATATTTGGGCAATTAAAGAATATTAAATTAAACATTACCTTGTTCTGAGTGACAAGAAATGATTCAAGGGTTCCAACGGGTTTTACAAAATACTAAGATTCTTATTTTTCAACTTGAAGAAATGTTTCTCCAAGAAATGTATGACCCATGTCATTCATCAACTTGGATTCTGAAGTTAACTAAACCTTTAATTGAAAGGAAAGTCATTTAAAATAGGAAGAAAAGATACATCTCCAATTTATATGTTGTATAGGAACACAAATATGTTACACATTGTGTTTCTATGAACCCCACCTGGGCCCTCCACTAGTTAGCCAACTGACTGCCTTGGTTAATGACAAAGCAAAGAATCTTCTTCAGCCCACTCTAGGGAGGAGAAGAGTGGCTGGACTGGGTAGGTGGCCTGGGTAGGTGCAGAGGTGTAGAGGTTACAGCTCTGCCTCAGGCTCTCTCCTCATCTCACAGAACCTCTTCATAATGGCGCGGGAAAGCCATGGCCTTAGCAAAAACTCCAGGACTCTCATCTTGCCAGTCTCGGCGTGGGCTCTCAGGCCCCACAGGAAGTCGTAGCATGGAGGATCACTGTTGGTCACCTGCTGGTACTCCAGGTATGTTTCTTGCTCCAAATCTTCAGTGATAAGTTTCCTGGGCTCTCCAAAGATTAACTGCCTCATCTCAACACAGATTCCCAAACACATTTAGGAACTCCCAGACGTACTCCTCAGAGATGTGGTTGCCATTCAAGATCACACCCAGGAGAGGCATGAGAAGCCCATTCCTAGGAAAGCCCCAGGCACTGCTCACTCTGCCATCCGTGGTGAGGTCTAGGCTGCTGACCAGGATATTGGAGTGACCGCAGGGCTTGACTTCCCTTAATTCCAGGCCAAAGACCAGCTCCATGTGCTCAGAGATCCTCCTGAGGATCTCAGGCAAGTGCTCCCTGTACCTTTTGTTGACCACCTGTCAGAAGTGCTGCCTGCGTAACGGCCGCCCTCACTACACGCTTCTCCAGTGAGAAGTGCGCTGACATGCTCATCGCCCTGGTTAGGGCATGTTTTGGTGAGCTCTGAGTGGGGGTTGGGACTTCAGAGCAACTTGCACTTTCTCATCCTGGCTCCTGACACCTTGTTCAGACCCCATGCATGAAATAGCTACAGAAGTAGTGATAGTGGGTGGGGATCTCTGAGGCTCTTAGCAATGCTAGCAATAAGGCAATCTGATGGAACAGCCCCAAAATAGAGGAGGAGAGGGGGGACTCTGCTGCAGTGGCCTAAGCCCCCTCAAGTTCCTGGGTCTTACCTCAGGCCTAGTGGCATTTTTCGTGTTGTTGAGTTTACTCTTCAGATACTGAGGAATGATGACTCCATGGTCGTGAACTGCAGGCTGGACAGTAGGTAATAAGGGCACCTAGAGGAGGGACAATGGGATGGTGTGTAAACCTACAGCAGGAACATTCCACCTTGGCTTTAACCTCTGCAGGTTTTCTTGAGGATACTCCCTAGGAACCTACAAGGCCCTTGTTCTCCCAGTCAGCCTGTTCTGAGAAGCTACTGGAGAAAGAGTGAGCCTTAGGCTATAGGCCACTAGCCCTGCCTTTTACTGACTAGTGTGATGCATGGCTAGCAGTGAGGCCACATGTTGTCTAATGTGGCAAGTGGTCCTCTATGTTTAGCTTCCAAATTATCATAATAACTTTTTTAAAGATTTTATCTATTTATTTGATAGAGAGAGAGAGAGAGAGAGAACACAAGCAGGGGAAGTGGAAAAGAGAGAAAAGCAGCCTCCCTGCTGTGCAGAGAGCCCAACCCAGGGCTCCATCCCAGCACCCTGAGATCATGACCTGAGCAGAATGCAGATGCTTAATGGCTGAGCCACCCAGATGCGCCATAATAACTTTTGACAAGGCATCGAACCCTTTGTCTCTGCTATGCTAAAATTGATACC